TGACTGTAAAAGGAGAAACATAACCCCCATATGTAAAAAGGGAAAAAAGGAAGACCTGGGGAATTACAGGCCAGTCAGTCTCACCCCTGTGCTTGGCAAGATCATGGAGCGGACCCTCCTGGAAACTAGGCTAGGGCACATGGAAAATAAGGAAGTGATTGGTGACAGCCAACACAGCTTCACTAAGGACAAATCATGCCTGACATATTTGGTGGCCTTCTACAACAGGGTTACAGTGTTGGTCGATGAGGAGCAACTGACGTCATCTGCCTGGACTTGTGCAAAGCATTAGACACTGTCCCACATGACATCCTTGTCTCTAAATTGGAGAGACATGGATTTGACAGGTGGACCACTCGGTGGATCAGGAATCGGCTGGATGGTCACGCTCAAAGTCACGGTCAACAGCTTGATGTCTGAGTGGAGACCAGTGACAAGTGGTGTTCCTCAAGGGCCCATACTGGGACCAGTGCTGTTTAATATCTTTGTCAGTGACACAGACAGTGGCATCGAGTGCACCCTCTGCAAGTTTGTCGATGACAAGCTGTGTGGTGCAGTTGACACGCTGGAGGGAAGGGAGGCCGTACCAGAGGGACATGGACAGGCTGGAGAAGTGGGCCCATGTGAACCTCATGAGGTCCAACAGGGCTAAGTGCAACGTCCTGCACCTGACTCGGGGCAATCCCAAGCACAGATACAGGCTGAGCAATGAGTGTATCCTGCGGAGGAGGACTTGGGGGTGCTGGTGGATGAAAAACTGGACATGAGCCAGCAAAGGGCGCTCACAGCCCAGAAAGCAAATTGCATCCTGGGCTGCATCAAGAGCAGCATGGCCAGCAGGTCGAGGGAGGTGGTTCTCCCCTTGTACCCTGCTCTGGTGAGACCCCACCTGCAGTGCTGCATCCAGCTCTGGGCCGTCAGCACAAGAAAGACATGGACCTGCTCGAGCAGGTCCAAAGGAGGTCACAAAGATGCTCAGGGGGGCTGGAACACGTCCCCCACGAGGACAGGCTGAGAGAGTTGGGGTTGTTCAGCCTGGAGAAGAGAAGGCTCCAGGGACACCTTAGAGCAGCCTTCCAGTACTTAAAGGAGGCTACAGGAAAGGTGGGAAGCGACTCTTTGTCAGGGAGGGTAGTGATAGGATGAGGGGTAACAGTTTCAAACAGAGAGGGGAGATTTAGATTAGATATTGGGATGAAGCTCTTCACTGTGAGGATGGGGCTTTGAGCAACCTGGTCTAGTGGAAGGTGTCCCTGCCCATGGCCGGGGGTTGAAATTAGATAGTCTTTAAGGTCCCTTCCAACCCAAAACACACTGTGATTCTATATAAGAATGACCATTATCTGGGGAGAATATTTCAGGACTAAGTTTTCTTTATTCCACAACAATTACTATTCTGCTACAGGTACATTGGTCAATTGACTTAAAGACATTCATACGCCTCAGGAAACATTTCTCATTACACTAATTACAGGCTTTCAAATAAATGTACATTTGTTAAATGTCATGCAAGACAATTGGTAACCTGAATTAAACAAACTTAGTGTCTCTTTACAGCAAGGATTTAGAGATGCTTAGGTTCATTGAGGACCAAGGTTTAGTTTCCAATGAAAGTTACTTTTTTATTATTATTATTTTTATTTGGGTGAGCCTATTTCTTATTATTACTGGCTTATTATCAGTAACAAAAAGATATGGAGGGTAATTGGCAACAGATGTTTGCTGGTTTATTTCTAAAACTAACCCCTCCCTTTTCTCCATACATTTCTCCTCCCAGCACTTTTTTTTTTAAACTTACCATAAAATTCTGTTGAAGAGGAGACCAAGAATACATTATAGGCACAGAAGCAACAGCATTGAGAGTCTTCAGTGGGATGACTTGTTTCGGAAAATCTATGTCACTGGTAACAGAGCACTGAAATAAGAGGTCGAAGTTACACTTACATAGCAACATCAGAAACAAAAAAGGGAAAAAAAAGAATTACAGAAGAACACTATACAATGTACAAAAGTCAAAGTGTTTGTCAAAATTAGCCATATCAGCCTTTGAAAAGTGCATCAGATTTTTAGGGCATAATAGTAAGAATGGGTTTAGTAGGAAAAAAGACACAAGAATTATTTCTATGTCAATACCTTTGCTACTAGATCATGATGTTTTTTTCCACTTAATAAGTGAATATGATAGTATTTTACTCAGACTATTCAACCCACAATACAAATTACGTTTGGCATCTCAAAACAGATTTAGTACTTGTTGCTGCTACACTGATGCTAGAGTATTTACACAAGCCATCAGAGGCGCAACGGAATTCCCCTGGCTTCAGACCAATACACTGCAGAAATCACGTATTATTTATGCTAAAAAAAAATTTTACTTTAATGCCACCAAGACATCTTGTTGAAATAAATCCTCCAGATCTTGTTAATTCCTGCCTTATTTCCTCTTTTTTTTATCTGTTTATCCTATCCTCAAGGCTTTGGTTATGCTCACCGCTTACAACAGAAAAATGAAAATTAACTCTTAATATGCAACTCTGGGCATGTCAATGAGCTTTCCAGCTACAGGACTTTTTTTTTTTTTTGAGATTCAGAGGTTTATGTAGCCTCCAAAAGATAAACATGCAATAGAAATACAGCCAGCTTCTGGGTTATTCTTGCATCTATTCAACAGTTAACAGATACAGATCAACTTTTCTCAAATACTTGGACAGCAGTATGAAGAACTCTGGAAAAAAGTTACAAACAAAAGCAGACAGGAACATACACAGCTAGGGAAAGTACAAAAAGGATTTGGAGGTAGGTTAAAAACAAAGTTTAGAACAGCTATCATAGCTACCTGGAAGGAAAAAAGGAAGTGGAGACAAAAGATTTTTCTCCTTTCCAGAAGGGAAAGATGAACAGAGCTTCACATTTCTAAAGAAATACACAAAGTAATGTAACAAACAGTATACAGAGACAGTACCCCGGCAGAATGACACAAGCCAGATTCATTTATTTTCTTTTTAATGTCCAGCAAATGAAATTAGATTTCTGCTGTGTATATCAATACTCAAGACACTGTCCTATGCTAGTGCTTCATTCCCATGTCAGGTTAATTTTCCCGCTAGCAGCCACCTAGCATACTTTTCATGTATTTTTGAATAAAAATAGAGAAGTAAAAAAATAATTACTTTTATCTTTGGAACTAGAAGTCTCAGGCTGACAAGTAAGCTACATCTAAATGACTCAAAGTGTTTAGTACTGGTAAGTCTCAGTTATGTTGCCCCATTGTTTTGGTACGGAACTCGGCTTAATGGTATTAGGCTAGCACAGCCCATGTTACTGTCTTAGGTTGGTGCTGACTGCACTAGCCATTGGAGAAAACCTATGCCACCAGCGATGCCCTGCAGTCTTCACCAAACATGTGAAGGCTGTCACAAAACCTTTCCATCAGGTCACTAAACTTCTAGCCAGTGTCCTATGCAACTCTGAAGAAATTCAGCATATTAAGAAAAAAAAGATTTTAAGGTAATCCTTTAAAACCCCCACCAATTCTTTGTCACACTCTTCTCACTATAAATTATGGCAATCTTAAACCAAGCATTAAAGTTCTGATTCATGAAACAGAGATCGGATTTGAATGTAGTAATTAATGTGCTCTATCAATTCAGGCGGGAAATCAATTCAGGCAGGAAATTAACATAAAGGAATAGTGAACCAAGCTAAAAAAAAAAAAAAAAAAAGAAGAGAAAAAGGAAGAGGAATGGTGAGGAATGATCTTTTACTAACAAAAAAAAGTGAAAATTGGATGTGTACCTGTGTCAGTTATTATCAGAAGTTGATCCTACAGTGCCATATGACAGGTATAGAGCTGTACATGAGTAATTGCACATTCAATCATGTTTAAAAGAAAACACCCAGGCAAAGGTCTTTCCCACCTATTTGCATTTGAACATGCACGCACACAACTGCGCCTGTGACACACATGCCCCCAGTTCCCCGCTAAAATTTAGGAAAAGGGAAATCTGACAAATCTCCTTGTAAAGAAAGCGCTTTATTTTGGGTTTTTTAACCTATTCACAGCAAAGCCTTTTCATTCTCATCCTACTGAAAAGTGTTAGCTTTTCAGATTGTTACACATGAAACATCCTGAAACTGTGTTAGTTTGGAGTAATGTCTAAAGAGCAACAGAGAAAGAAGATAAATTAATCTGGGCTGAATACAGAATGTTGGAGTAGGCTTAAACCACTGTTCAAGCTACCAATATAAAAGCCAGTTTAGGTGCTCAAGTTGCATCACATCATGGAAGTGTTTTTCACAAATTTAGCATCCAGTCTGCTTGGGCACCACAAAGGTGCACCAACTCAACTAACTCCTTTTAGAACTTCTGTGATTAAATAACTTTTAATTAATATAAAGAAGGCTTTGTCAAGTGGGTGTGTTGACAGCTTTCATGGGCTTTAACGCAGTAAGAACCAAAGTAACTACTTATTTGTACCACTGGGGGTCAACCCCAACAGGAGCAAGATTAAACTCCCAATATCAGTGAGACAAAATGCTTTGATTAAAGGATGCTGAGGTATGATCCAAGTGTTATCAGAAATAAAGAAGCTTCACTTTTGTGTGTCATTCAAAGCTAGGTAGCCTGCTGCATATTTATTGCTTTCCAGAAGTCATATGATCAAAGTAAATACTAAATAAATTCTTTAAGAGACTCATACGAAAAAGATTTAGCTGCCAAGCATGTCATGCTGGAAAACACCATAAAGAATAGCCAACTTTCCAGTAATAAAACAAAGATGTGCTAACAACCTTGTAAGTGGAATTACCACAACACATGTTAACCAACCTCCCTGGTCCCGCGCAATGAGCTCACAGAAGTCATGATGTGAACAGGCTGTATCCTACGTTGTTTCCATTCTTGATTTAAGATTTCAGTTCTTTCCAGTATCTTCTGACGATTAGAATTAAACATACTCTAAAAATTAATCACAATTGTAAACATTACATAGAAATCAAAGACTCTAAACTCACCTGCTAGAATCTTAAGGCATCATAACATTTACTGAAAAAAATAAACAAAACCAGACAGGATTTAAAAAAAAAAAGTGCTCAAACTGAACCGCCCAAATTTTGTTTAAATGTCAGCAAGGCTCAATACAGTTCATCATCTCTTTCTTTGACTCAAACCATGTTCTCATGTTTAGAGACGCTCAGAGGTTTAGCATGGAATTAAATACGAAATGGAATTAGAAAGAGTATGTGGCTAAAGAAGCTGCCATACTTGCTCGCCAGTCTCTTCTGATACTTAGCAAGCCTGATTCAATCACATATAAATGTATCATACCTGTTTATAAGATCAGAGAGTTAAGATAAGTTTTCAGTATGTTAACAAAGTATTTAATGAAATTGTTATTGCAGGTGTTAGCTGCAGGACAATTCATTCTTCTGAAGAAAAATCAACTTTTGTATCATTTTTTAAGCAATAGAACCAAAAGATGACATACCTTTACTTCATCCGCACGTCGGAACCTCTTGAGCTGCCTCAGTCTCATATATTCTGATTTCACACGTTTTCGCCAACAAATTGGTCCCTTCTCAGATTTTTTTCCGGTTTGACCCATGATTATCCTACAAAAGACAATGTCATGTTAATATTACCAAATCTGATGCCACTGCTTACAGAGGAAGTTAGAGGGAAGTTAGGTAGGACTGAGACATTCCTTTCATGTCTGATGCCTTTAACTCCTTTCAGACAGACACTTGCAATACCATCCCAACCCAACAAGACAAAAACATACTTATGTGATACACATCAGAAAAGAGTCATTTTAATCACAAATCAGTGGGACCATTCACACTTGCTTTAAGCACTTCTAATGCCTCTATATAGAAAGGTCCTGAATGAATTTAAAGGGGTAAAGTGGAACACATCAAGATGCTGACTGCAAAGGTACACACTGGCACCCTTGCAAGCAGTCTTGTAAATTAACTTCTGGACATCTACGTTCGTGGCAGACAAACCTTTCCCTCCTTGCAGGAGTGGTCCTCTTCAGTAAGATACTAACTCCTAGAATAGGCCTCTGGAGTTGATTTCAAGTGCTGAGAGGCACCCCAAGTACAGCCCTGCCACCTAGCCACTCGAGGGTCACAACGTTCTAGAAATTCAGACATAGAGTTTTGAAACAGCCAGAGTAAGAGACCTTGCTCTCTTCTCAATTATTCTACAAAAACCCAAACTGTCCAGCTGACTGCAAACAGGACACTGATTGCACTTTTACTGATCACCCTCCTCGTAGAAAGTGCTTCATTTTTATGTCACAGGACTGCTGGCAATGAAGTTGTATTTTTACATTATAATCCAACTGCATTGCTTGAATACTCCAATCTGCTCAGCATTTTCCAAAATCCAGGACCATATGCTGAGACTGTGCTGGCAACGACTATTTTAATAGCATCCTGAAACAAAACCACTACATCGCACACTGGCTTCCTCTCCAGAGTTGCGCTGTAACAACCTACAGCATTTCACCGAATAGCTCAAAATAGTGTTCACAATAGCCATCATGGCCAAAAGGCTGAAATGCCCAGTTGCCCAAGGTTAATACACTCGCAAACAAGCTCAATCCATTTGAGCAGAAACAATTCCAGCCCTTCTAATTATCAAGGTAGTTAAATATGAACAGAGGAGTCTTCTTTGGGCTGGAGTCGACTGCCCAGTGCTATCTCCCCTGCTGCACACCACAGCTCCCCCAGCTGTTGTGAGTACAGCTTTATCCCAGTTACTGAAAGCATTTTGCTGCTGTAGGTAGAGGTCTATTTTCAGCAGTTTTGTACAGGTTGGATTTTGAGTTCTATCAGACTTTATGATGACTGGGGGGGTGCAATCGGTACAGAACCTCTTTATTCTCAATACCACACCTTCATTTACACTGAGCACGTTCACACTGAACAAAAGGTAACAGTCTATGAGAGCCTGCCACCTATTTTTATGCAAGACATTATATTTTCTAACAAAAATTGTTGAGTTTTTAGAATTTAGAAATGAATCAAATGGGAGAAATGCCAACCCAAATCATGGGAACTAGCCTTTGAGGAAAAAAATGTAAAGCATACAAATAAGTTCCACATAAGGCCCAAAGCAGCTGACTAGACAGAGGGGGAGGACGGAGAACTAGCTGGGGAGGGAAATCTAGAGAAAAGGGTCAAACTCAGTTGCTCTGCTTCCATGCCTCAAGGCAGCAAGTGTAATCCACCTGTATCTCATCTGCCACAACACTAGTGGTTACAAGAGAGACAGACAAAAAATAAAATAATTTTTAAAAAATAATCATGGACCATTCATGTTAGAGCACGGTAAAGACAATCAGTGATTCAAAGTGCACTACGATATTGATCACAGAACAGCACAAAAGCATTATGAAGTACAGAAAATGCATTGTATTCTATGCTAAACTAAGCAAATCAAAGATACAGAAAAATACCCCATTAACCAGAAATAAATCAGACATAGAATAAGTATAATAAAATAAATACAATAACAGAATCTCAATTTGTAAGTAACAGAGAACATCAAGATCACTTCAGTTATGGTTCAGCCAAAAGACAGGGAAAAAGTACCATGGAATTCAAAAGATAAAGGAAAGCTGACAATACTGAAGTGGCATATCCCATAAAAACAAAACACAGATTATGTTTAATACTGCATCAACCACAGCCCTTCTTATTCTAGTTTCCTGGAGAATAACAAATTACTCAGGCTTAAAAAAAAAAGCTTTCTTAACTAAAATTAAATTGCCACATAAGCCCTGCTCATCAAAAGCAGATCTATATGGAAAGCGTATATAATTAGATTAAAACCAGTAAGAAAACAAACAAACAAAAGCCAATAGTCACCATCTTTCTTTCATACAACTGACATAAAGCCCCCAGAAGACCCCACAAACAAGGATTTAAGACCTGAGAGAAAGAGAACTCCACTGAATAAACAAATCAAATCTGTTCCACTTTTCAGTAATGAACTTCATTGTTACCTGTTGTATCAAAATGACAAGAAAAAAAAAAACACTTCACAAGAAGATAAATACTTCCTTTTAAAACAGCGTAGCTTATGCACGCTCAGGTCATTCCTCTGAACACAGGTGGGACTTAGGAGAGCGCTCCATCTGCGGCACCACGCAGCAGCTCCACTCAAGCTGCTAACCGGGGCGCCACACAGACAACAATGTAATGTTCAAGGCACCAAATAACAAATCATAGAAAATGAAAGTAGGCACTGTTGCTTATGTCAAGTTATAGCAAGAAAAAGTTCTTCTAGCTAAAGTAATAACGTTAACGTGCAACAGTCAGTGGGATACACATAATGCATTAAGTCAAATATGTATAAATGAATTAGAAATGGCCTCTTAAACAGCAAGTCCATACTAACAGAAAAAGCATCAAGTGGAAAGGAATCATATGTGTGTATAGGCTATAGAAAAAAGCATAGCTAAGAAAAAAGGCAAAGTGTCATGGATGCATGTTTGTAAAATACTAATTTTGAAAAATCCCTGAAATTTTAGTAATGAATTCTCATTTTGAGCAGCAGTTTTTCAGGCCAAGTGAACAATATTTGTATGGTTTGGGGTAGTTGAACACCACCAAAGTAGAATTCCAGTGTTGTTAACACAGGTACCGTGGTAAGAGGTAATTGTTTTTCTGTCCCTAATCTCAGAAGAAAGTATGGGGAAATAAACCCACGGCAGGGGGCAGGGAGAGAAGAGTGGACAGAGTCAATTCTCACAGTGGAATTGATCCATCATCTTCACATCAGGACCACAGCCAAATGCCACCAACACTTTCTAATATCAATTCAAAGGTTGCCCCAAAAGCTCTACATTTAAGAAACTAAACCTGAGAAACTGGGATAAGAAGTTTCACAGACGAGGACAGCCCATGTGGGGTCAGGGCTGGGGGAGCAGAAAATGAGACAGAAAGATGAACTCCTACAGGAGGGTGCTGGACACTACCTCCATCCCTCAAGGAAAAGTGATTTAGAGAACTGAAAGACTTCAGGGAAACATCAACATCAACTCAGTCTCTACAGCAATTTCAGGATTGCAGATGCTGTCTCAAGCCTACTATTGGTCCACTTGCACCAGCATCTATGTAAAAGGAAAACCTTTCCCAAATCACTTTCTTCCACTATTC